AACTAATAGATTGGATCAACAGAGGGGCAATAAAGGGCAGGCGACTCTTAGTTTAGTCAAAGTGGGATTCTTCCCAAGCTCCACAGGCCACAGACTATTTTTCTCCCAAGTTCCCCATTCTGATGATTGGAAATGAGGGAGATTGCAGGGCTTTAGGTCAGGTGGTTAGATAGAAGGGAAGGGCTCTGTCTGGATCTTGGTTGGTCTGGACAACTTTGGGAATATCACTCAATATTCCTGTAAATGCAAAGATTTTCAAAAAAAAGGAGACATTCTATATAAGTGACCTATCAAGTCCCTATCTTCATATGCGCAGAGCCCCGAGTAATAGAGGAATAATGAACATAGCAGTCTCTCAAGTGACTGGTGTAGGAGGCAGCCCAGTGCACAGCTGTTCAACCCTAGGAGGAGCATTATGATGACGACTGCCACGGACAAGCTGTGGGACCCAGGACAGCCAGAAACCTCTCTGTGCCATGCTTCAGTCTGCAAATGAGGATCACTGTAATACCCTCTCCTTGAGATGATATGAGAATTAAATGAATAAGTTTTAAAGTGCTCAGAACTTTGCAAGACCCATAGAAAGAGCCATAAAAGAGTTTATGCTTGTGATGGTGACACGATTGTTATTATTGTGGTCCTGACCCTGTGCTTTCCCAGCCCAGAAAGCTCTCCCAGAGGAGGTTACTCAATCTGAGTATTGAAAAAGCAGGAGTTGACTAAATGGCTGAGGGGAGTAGAGAAAGAAAGGTAGAGGAGAATGAAGAATGGGGGGAAGGGGACACAGAGGCACCTAATGCAGAGGAGCCCAGCAAGAGTGAGATCAGTTTCATTCCATTGTGGAGGTGATTTGAAAGATGAAGCAGAATAGGCCATAAAGGGTCCAACGTACATAAGGAATTGGATTTTTAAAAGTCAATCTACAGGAAAAAAAAATTTCTGGAAATTTCTGAAGTGCTTCCTAAACTATGTTAGCAAAAATTAACTGAATAGAGAAATCTAAGACAAGTTTAGTGAATGGCCACAGTCTGCTAATAAGAATGGAAAATGAAGTGGAATGTTCCGTAGGCACCTGGACCTGACTCTAGATTCCTGCGGTTGTGTTGACAATGACTGATTTCCTGTAGCCTCTTTTCTCAGAATTTGCAGTGCTCCTCTCTACCCACAGGCTAATAACCTGCCTCCCCAGTGGTCTCCAAGGCTGCCTTTGTTCTTCCTGTCAGAGCTCTGACGTTCTGTTCTGGTATATAACATTCCCTGGCCAGCTGAGAATGCAGGGGGTACATTCTGAGTAGCTAAGACCAATCTCATCATTCTATCCACTTTCCCATTGATTGACTGAGGTATGGATGGGCACTTGCCACAATTCTAGCCAGAGCCATAATGGAAGCCAGGAGGCTTCTGGGAAAAGTTTTCTTTCTCTGAAAAAAAGCACACAAGATGACGTGGCCTCTTCTTCCTCTGTATGTTGGGCTGATGTGTGACACCCAGAATTGCATGTCCTCTAGAGCATCTACACAATATCTTTCATAGTACAGCTAGATAAGTTTTTGTTCCGTTGAAAACTGAAGATTTATAGCAACTTCCTAGGAGATAAGTAGGGTGGTTGTTATCCTTTTGGTAGTTGAGGAAGCTGAAAGAGATGAACTGGCACATGTTACACCTAAAGATGAATGATGCTGGTGCTTCTATAATACCAGATGCTTCTCTTTGATCTTATCAAATCCAGGCCAGAAAATATGATACACAGCTTTAAAAAGGTTTCTTTTTGTGCCCAGACAACAAAGCAAGGCATGAATGTGAACTAAACTGTATTAGATTAAAATGCCTTTTTTCATTTTTGTTTATTTATAAACAACATGCTAAAGAATGTGAAAAGATGGATCTAGTGCTTTTTCAAGCTGAGAGGTACTCACATGACTAAGTCAGACAGCTATTCCACTCAGGAACAACAATCAGTTAAAGATCTTTGCAATCAATGTGCTCCAAGGGTTTGGGGAGCCTTTGGGGGTACAGGCATTACTGCATGTTTGGAGGAGCCTCTTCAGTTTGCCCCAATGTGCCAACTCATGTTGTTACCCTTTAATGTGCCAAGAGATAAGTCTGGAAAGCATATACTTTCCCCATAGCCCCCTCTGCTCTTTTCCACAAACTGTCCATTTCAGTCAACTAATCTGTTTACTATCCCCAAATATCTTTTGGCCTGGAGTACTGGGGTATTGACTTGCCTTGTGATTACTTTTGCCTTGAATCCTGGGCTTTCCCCTCCATATTTAAAATAGAACTTTAAAAATCCCACCAGAAGTTACTTCCTCCAATAAACTTTTGGATTGCATAATGACAGTTATGTAATATAGTTAAACCACCGGGACTATATGTACTATCACACGGCACACAGTTTTTTCAACTGCATGATGAAAAGAAATGCATCTGCGTGTTTTGTTTCTCTAATTAGACCATAAATAATCTCTCTGAAGGTCACTGCAAAGAGCCTTCCTCATAGCAAATAGCTAATTCTCTTTTGAGGGGATATTGGGGATTAAACCTAGGAGTACTTTACTGCTGGGCTACATCCCCAGGCTTCTTTTTTTATTTTTTATGTTTTATATCTTATTTTTTGGAGACAGAGTCTTCCTAAATTACTAAGGCCTGGTGAAGGTTAAGTTGCTGAGGCTAGCCTGAAATATATCATCTTTCTCCCTGGCTCCCGGAATTACAGGCATGTGACCCCATGCCCAACTGCACAAACAACTAATTCTTTCTCTTTTTCTCTATCATGAACACTTCTTATCATGCTTTTGTTTTCTAATGTGTTCCATCTTGTCATTTGTATGATGGCTGAATGTGATATAAAAGGTCAGACTCTACTTTTTTTTAACCAAAATAACTTACATGTCTACCATATGTAAAATACCATGCTAGATTCATGGAGATTCACAGAAGGGAAAAATAAGAAACATATTAGTAAACAAAACAATGATGAGGCCTGGGGGGGGTCTTCTAACCTAAAAACTCTGGGAATAAAATATTCTTATTAATGAAGACAACCCTGGCATGATGTAAATACCCACCTACCAGATGGAGACATTGACCTTTACTTCTCCCTGGGAACTCTCACTACGTATAGTCAAATTTTGGTGGCTATATCAGGATTGGGGGAAGATCAGGGTACTTTTAATTTCAAACCACCAACAAAGTTGCATAATTGAATTTAACCAAATAGTTCCTTCAGAAGCAAGGAGACCCAGGAGCCTGAGTCTAGCATGTCTGGGAAAAGACACGTGTGTGTGTGTGTGTGTGTGTGTGTGTGTGTGTGTGTGTGTGTGTTGTCAGCAGGCCAGGGAAAGAATGGTTTAGGGGCAGAACTGGCCAACCTCATGGTCCTTCTGAGGTTAACCCTCCTATCCAAAACTCACCTTCCACTTTACAGACTCCCATGAACTGTCCCACTCTCAGTGAAACACAGCTGGGCAAGCTTTTACATTGTGACTTGATGACAAGAGTGTGGTGGTTTTCCCTCAAACCAGATTAAAAAAAAAAAAAGGTCTTGAGCTTTCTAAAGCTGTCAGGCTCCTAAGGGAATATTCTTATATAAGAATATACTTTGGGAAGCTGCTAAGCCCCCTCTAAATATTTGGGAGGCAACCTTTGAATTAAGTTTTTCACCTAGTGATGTCAATTATTGGAGTATTATCAAAAAGTAAAGATCTCAGGGGTTCTATGTGAGAAGACACAGAACAGGTCAAACAATCAATTATCTTGATAGCTGAGTAATTCAAGGAACTCTTAATTATATACTTCCAAGAGACTTAGGAGGCCAACTCCATTCTTCTAGTTATTTCTAAAGCCCAACTATAGTCCATGAAAGCCCAACTTGGAGGATACGCTTTAGAACCCTGGGATGTACAGGAAGGAGCACTCCTCATTCAGGATCCAAGTGGGCATGGGGGTCCTTGAAGAAATTGAGTTAATCTGGAGGATATAGAATTGCTCTAAAAATTGACTTAGGAGGACTCTTCTGTGTGTTCTGCATTCCCATGGGAACCAAAAGCCATCTCCCACTGACTACCGGCCTTCCTCTATGGTAGTCTTCAGCTCCCCTGTTTCCCAAGGATACCAAGAAACCTCCTATTTTGTCTTCAGTCAAGCAACCATTGCTCACAGTAAGTTTCCACCCTCAACCTACACCAACACACACACACACACACACACACACACACACACACACTGCAGGACTTTCAGTTTGAGCCCATGATATTTTAGGCTCTAAATTCTCTGAAAAAAAAAATAGAGAAATCTCTCACCACACTGAGGAAGTGAGCTCCCAGACACTGCCTTTGAAAATGCCCAGCTTGACAACTCAGTCCTCTAGATCACTAGGTTTCTCTTCCCCTATCCCTCAGTTATGTCTCATGAACCAGAGTTTATGTGAATTTCCATAAGAGTAACAGGTCTAATTCAGTTCTTTCAATTCTCCCCAACAAGTTATCTACGATTGCAGCTGTGAGGCCTTTTCATCTACTCCTAACTAGTCACAAAAATATTTCATTTATTTGTGTCTCATGTATATTTTTTATTTGGATCTCTATAATTTTAATTTGTCTCAGTCTGTCACAATTTTTGAAAAATTAATTCAGAGTAAAAAGAAAAAAAAAGGCAGACGCTGCTCACTCTCCAGCTCATGCACGCACTCGCTTGCTCTCTCTCCCTTGCTGTCTCTGTGCTATAGCAGGAAATGCATTTCTGACACTTTTAAAATGAGCAATCACACTTATAATCAACTTGGTTAAAACTTCCTTCCTGGTAACTGCAACACTTCCTCTGCATCTGGATATGAAGGGAGCCCCAGAAAAGCGGAAGAGTTGAGAGGCACACTGGGTAGGTTTGAATTTGTTTTGTTTTCAAAAATTAAACAAATGATCCTTCAGCATCATCGCCTCCGCTGCTCTATCAGGTATTGCTTCCTTCTATTTTTTGCTTTCTGTTGGGTCTGACTCGAAATAGAGACACTTCCTTCTCAGCTAGAATATTTTTATCTGGAACTGTTGTCGGTTCTTCAGATGATCCTACCACTGAATGTCCGAGTTTCATTGTCTGGTCCAACCTAGACTGTGGATATCCACAAGGTTCCGGCAATAGTTTGCAGGTGCATGGATTCTTTTTTGTTTTTGTTTGGGAGGAAGAGGGAGGGCCTGGGAGCCTCTGCCAACCAGGCTTCATATTCTTACAAATGCATGTAGAAATTACTGAACTTACAGTGTTTCTAACGTCTTTCTATAAGAGAAGAAAACTTCATAGCCTCAACCATGAAGAAATCCAGTGAGTATTTGCTCAGCCTGTTTGGTATCACTGACGTAGATATGGCCATATATTTGTATGCTGCCTAATTTGGACAGTTTCATTTCAAGTTAGTGTCAACAGCAGTCTACCTTACAATTCTCTTCTTTGTTTCTTATTCTATAATGTAGCAAAAGTTCAAAATGGGTGTTTTAAGTTACAAGAGAGAGTTCCTTGGGCCTGTCTTGATTTCATTTACTAAGTATAACTTCATTATATTTTAAGGCAGGGAATATTGACTTTAAAAATAAGTTAAGCCAAGTTAACTTAAGTTAACATAATTTAAGATCTAATGAAACTCTCTTAGCTTTTAATCAAAAACATATACCACCTTTTTGGTATATATCAATTCCCCTACTATTTCTTAAGGGAATAAATTGTCATGAGTCTCATTAATATTAGTTATTTAAGAGTAAATGATATTTTCTGAGAAACTGTTTTTTATTTCAATAGTGAGTCTTATTTAGAATATAATGTATTACAAGGTAGTGATATTAAATATTAAAATACCTAATTATTCCTCTTTCAATTTTAATACTTACAGAATTTCAAATATTAGAAGGTTTTCTTACTATGGTATGTCATATTTATATTTAAATGCTTTGTCAAGAGCAAGTTTTCATTAAATGCTTATTGAAAATGGATAATTCACTGGGAGTATATTTGTGAATTCTTGACATATGAATAGAAAGATTAGAGCAAAAAAAAAAAAAGTTAAGTAATCATTTAGGGCCAAAATAGTAGGTTACTGGAGTCCAGAAATTTTGCCTCCCATTCTGGGGTCCCTCCACTATCACAAGCAGAGCCAGACCAAGTGAATTGGTACAGAGTTAAAAGAGCCTAGATGTTTATTTTAGGATGTTTCTGTTAGATGTTTAAATTAGGCAATTTAATCTAAAAGGGCTGATGGCTAGAACACTTACACATTTCGTGATTCAAAATTTTACATACCTTTAAATGGTCTTGATTGCAACTTACTATTTCTGGTATTTTTTAATTTTATGAATGAAATGACTACCATTCTTAGAGGAGAGGTAAGAAAAAAAAAAGAAAAGAAAAAAAGAAAGACAGGAAGTTGACTAGGGAGTAGCAGGTCCAGACAGTTTGAAAATAGAGAACATGAAGTGAGGTTGGGTAAGGTGTCTGGGTTAGAGGAGAAGTGTGAGACTGAACAAAGGAAAAAGTTTAGGGCTTGTTTTTAAAGTGAGATGTTTCAGTTGCACCTTGCAAACTAGAACTTGATCCTTAACTGTATTATTTGACTTATCTGTATGTTGAGTAAGTTTAACAAAAATTACCATTTTGAGCTATTAAGTCAGACACTGTACTAGATGATTCTTTGGAATATTTCTTTTTTAATTAGAAAAATTCAAATACGTACAAAAGTAGAGAAAATGATTGATGAATTCCCATAGGCCCACTGTCCATACAAAAATGTATTCCACCTTATGTAACTTTCACCTCCACCCTCTGAGGTATTACCAACCACTCTGACAGATTAGAAAAGGGCTCAGAAATTAAATAGTCCAAGTCACTTAAATAGATAGTGGCCGGGCCAAGATACATATGCCTTAACTCGCAGGCCCAAGCTCTTAAAAGCTGTGCTGCATCCAACTTGAAGTACACAACGTCCCTCTGGGTCCTCGGGTGCACGCCAATCTACTACACCTTCTCTTCTACCGTCTTGTAGGAAACCGAGAGGGAAAAGTGTCTCTTGTGACCAAGGCCTCTGTTTCTCTGCTCCCAGACTGTGTAGGGCATGGAGCTGGAGAACTATGAGCAGCCGGTGATTCTGAGAGAGGACAACCTCCGCCGGCGTCGGAGAATGAAGCCACGCAGCGTGGCGGCCAGCCTGTCCTCCATGGAGCTCATCCCCATTGAGTTCGTGCTGCCCACCAGCCAGCGGGACACCAAGATTCCGGAAACGGCGCTGCTGCACGTGGCGGGGCACGGCAACGTGGAGCAGATGAAAGCCCAGGTGTGGCTGCGCTCGATGGAGACTAGTGTGGCCGCGGACTTCTACCACCGGTTGGGTCCGGACCACTTCATCTTGCTCTACCAGAAGAAGGGACAGTGGTACGAGATCTATGACAAGTACCAGGTGGTGCAGACCCTGGACTGCCTGCGGTACTGGAAGATGCTGAATAAGAGCCCAGGTCAGATCCACGTAGTACAGCGGCATGCGCCCTCCGAGGAGACCCTGGCCTTCCAGCAGCAGCTCACCGCCCTCATCGGCTACGACGTCACTGACATCAGCAACGTGCATGACGACGAGCTGGAGTTCACACGCCGCCGCCTGGTCACACCTCGCATGGCAGAGGTGGCAAGTCGCGATGCCAGGCTCTACGCCATGCACCCCTGGGTGACATCCAAGCCCCTCCCTGAGTACCTGTCAAAGAAGATTACCAACAACTGCATCTTCATTGTCATCCATCGCAGCACGACCAGCCAGACCATCAAGGTCTCAGCTGATGACACCCCAGGTGCCATCCTCCAGAGTTTCTTCACCAAGATGGCCAAAAAGAAGTCACTGATGGACATCCCGGAAAGCCAAAATGAGCAGGATTTTGTGCTGCGTGTCTGTGGCCGGGATGAGTACCTGGTTGGTGAAACACCCATCAAAAACTTCCAATGGGTTAGGCACTGCCTTAAGAATGGAGAAGAGATTCATCTAGTGCTGGACAGGCCTCCGGACCCAGCCCTGGATGAGGTGAGGAAAGAAGAGTGGCCACTGGTAGATGACTGCACCGGAGTCACCGGCTACCATGAGCAGCTGACCATCCATGGCAAAGATCATGAGAGTGTGTTTACTGTATCCCTGTGGGACTGTGACAGGAAGTTCAGGGTCAAGATCAGAGGCATTGATATTCCTGTCCTACCCCGAAATGCAGACCTCACAGTTTTTGTGGAAGCAAACATCCAGCATGGGCAGCAAGTTCTTTGCCAAAGAAGAACCAGCCCCAAACCCTTCACAGAGGAGGTGCTCTGGAATGTATGGCTCGAGTTCAGTATCAAAATCAAAGACTTACCCAAAGGGGCTCTACTGAACCTCCAGATATTCTGTGGCAAAACTCCTGCACTGTCAGGCAAAGCCTCTGCAGAGACTCCCAGTTCAGAGTCCAAGGGCAAAGCTCAGCTTCTTTACTATGTAAACCTGCTACTGATAGACCACAGGTTCCTCCTGCGCCATGGGGAATATGTGCTCCACATGTGGCAGATATCTGGGAAGGGAGAAGACCAAGGGAGCTTTAATGCGGACAAGCTCACGTCTGCCACCAACCCAGACAAAGAGAACTCAATGTCCATCTCCATTCTTCTGGACAATTACTGTCACCCAATAGCCCTGCCTAAGCATCGGCCCACTCCTGACCCCGAAGGTGACCGAGTTCGAGCTGAAATGCCCAACCAGCTTCGAAAGCAACTAGAGGCAATCATAGCCACTGATCCACTTAATCCCCTCACAGCAGAGGACAAAGAATTGCTCTGGCATTTTAGATATGAAAGCCTGAAGCATCCCAAAGCATATCCTAAGCTATTTAGCTCAGTGAAATGGGGACAGCAAGAAATTGTGGCCAAAACATACCAACTGTTAGCCAGAAGGGAGGTCTGGGATCAAAGTGCTTTGGATGTTGGGTTAACAATGCAGCTCCTGGACTGCAACTTTTCAGATGAAAATGTCAGAGCCATTGCAGTTCAGAAACTGGAGAGCTTGGAGGACGATGATGTTTTGCATTACCTGCTGCAGCTGGTGCAGGTAGGGGGATGTTGGCTTTATCAAGGGAACTGTCCTCAGGAATTTATTTGCATGTACACAGGCACCCCATTTAGTTGTTATCAGATACCCTTTGTTCTGAGCTTCATGATTGGTCAAAACAGCTCTAATGAAGCCACCTCAAAAAGAAGGAAACACTTCCATTTACTATTTTACTGTCTTTAAGGGTTTGCTGACAAGCATTTTAAAGACATCAGTACGATATTTTGTTTTGTAGGAAGATTGGTCCCATGGAAATATTTTATTCTCATTTATTATTTTAAGGACAGATTCAACTTATCGAATGCTTTCTTATGTCAAGTTTCCAAGTGATTTACATGCTTTTTGTGTGTTATCTCATTTAACTCTCCCAAAGACTATGATAGTGGTCAAATTAGTATTTGCATTTTATACATAAAGAAATTAGGGAACAAAGAGGCTAAGCAATCCAAGATCACATACTTTGAAAGAAGCAGACCAGAATTCAAATGTAGGAGGTCTGGTTTCCAGCCCTGCCCTTTTCACTGCCCGCAAAGAGTGAGCTAAAAGAGATCTTCTCCGCCCCACCCCACCCCATGAGTACTCCAGTTCATAGAATAACAGCTCATAGCTGGGTAGAGTCTTGAAAGCTCCTCTGCTTAGGCAGGTCCAGGGCTATGTTTCCACTCCAGTTCTCATGATGTCCCGTGGGGCCTTGAGAGGCTCAGTGATGTCCCTGAGGTTTAGCTAGGAAGTTAAAGACTTAAGGAGCAGCAGTTCTCCTGCTCACTCTAGCGGTTCTCAAATTATGTTGTAATGTTTGAAAAGATAAGGAAATAAAGGAATTGGAATATAAATGTCATTTTAGAGCCCAGACACGTCCATTCATTAATTCAACAACCCATACTGAGAAGACTGACATTAAATGAGTACATACACAAACATGTTTAATAACAGATTGTGACAAGGAAAAACAACAGAGTATTATGAGAAAAAAGGGGGCCAGGGATGGATGCTTACTTTCAACTGAGGAATCCAGGCATACCTAGTCCGGAGTTATATTTGCCCCAAGATCTTTAGGATAAGTCAGGCTAAGTTTTAGACTCCAAACTGTTACTATAAATATTTATTGGAGGGCTGGGGTTGTGGCTCAGTGGTAAAGAGCTCTGGCATGTGTGAGGCACTGGGTTCGATCCTCAGCACCACATAAAAATATATAAGTAAAATAAAGGTATTGTGTCCATCTACAACTAAAAAAAAATGTTTTTAAAAATATTTGGGAAGTCCCTAGAATTTTCTGACAAACACTTTGGATATTCTCAACTTTGAACCTTCACCTTCCCCTCATCAGATACTTGAAACGTTACGTTTGGCTCTTTCATCTATTAAATATGGCCACTATTTTTTTTTCTGCCCACTAGTTCAGATACTGGCATAAAAGTAATAAAGGAGCCTCAGTGTTCTGGCTCTCCAGGACAAAACTAACATCAAACAAATTTGTATATCCATTATTCTAAATCCCTAGGTCACTATGAATTATTTTTCATTATCATTTTTTATAAGTAAACCTTCCCAAATTAGAGGATAAATAATGTTCTCCTTGGAAACATTTTAAATGAAAAAGGTCAATAAGTTATATTAACATTGAATTTGTGGTCTTAAATTTGAAGAAGAGTAGTCATTTGTAAAACTATTTGAGACATTTTCACATAAGACTAAATGACTCATTCCTAATTAAAATGGTCTCCTAGCTGACTTTACAGAAGTGAAACACAAAGGTCAGAAAGACTCACGTTCAGTTTAGAAACTTAAAATGTATTTAAAGTAAGTACTAGTGGCTAAATAACCACATTCTCAGAATTAAGGTCTTACTTAGATACAGCTATCATGGTACCTATTTGACCACACCCATGAACATTTTCGAAAGCAAGGGTTATAATTGAAACATTATGGTTAGTATTTATCATTTCCAAATTGCAAAACCAGAGTAAGAATTATGAATCTTACTAAGAAAACTCCAGGCACCAAAATATTAACTAGAATGGGAATTTCTTCCTGTTTCTTAGGGGAAAAAAAAACCAGACTGTTTGTATTTGGAAAAGAAACACTCTGATATATTCAATTTAAAACTCCTTCAGTTTTACACCTAAGATATACCTTCTAACTTTATATATGCAGTTATGCTTGTTAGTTTAAAAAATTATGAACTATTTTAAACCTATAAAGAAGTAGAGAAAATAATTTAATAAACATTTAGACTCCAAACTGTCACTATAAATATTTATGAGAGGGCTAGGGTTGTGGCTCAGTGGTAAAGAGCTCTGGCATGTGTGAGGCACTGTTACTCATTGAGATTTTTTTTTTCATTTTATTGGTTTTTCTTCAGCAATTAGAGCTATCAACCAATATTCTCTACATTAGGGGTTGTGGTGTAGCTCAGTGATAGAATGCTTGCTAGCATGCATGATCTCCAACATGGCAAAAGAAAGAAAAATCAACCAACAACATGAAAAATAGAGATGAAAAGCAAGCTCTACCTGAGGAAGCACATAAAAGCAGGGATTTTTCTGGAGAAAAAAGAAAAAGTAAAAGCTCTCTATATACACAGCGTGGCAGCAGGTAGTGACTGTTCTGGATTGATCTAGACCTGCTGTCTACTTGCAGTGAGAACCTGTGAGACAGCTCAACGATTTGCCATGAGATGCTGAAAAGAAAGCTCTAGGGTTTTTAGGATCTTCACTTCTAAAGAACATTCTTCTCCTTAAATGCACTAATCGCCACTGTCCTTTTCACGAAACAAGTCTCCTTTCTTCTGTTTCATGGGTTTGTTCTAGCCATCTCCATCTTTCCTCTCTGTCCACCTATAAATCAGGTCAGCCCCTAATGGAGCCAATGCCCCTGCCTCTCCACTTCTGAAATTACTAAAAGTATGTGACTCTTGAGCTAAGATGTCTGGCCTCTAATCCCACTTCTGTTACTACTCTGTGATCCTAAGGAAGTGGTTCATTCTGGTCCAAAGAGTCTTCTGGAAGAATGGATCTAAGTGACTCATCGGATTCTCATCTCCCTAGCCATAAAGACCCACTCAAGCACATTGCCAGTCTTTCTCCATTTCCTTTTTCCTGACCTACCAACATAGAATACAGTCCTACTAATGCCAACGTGTTCTTCCTTCAGGCCGTCAAATTTGAACCATACCATGACAGTGCCCTGGCAAGATTTCTGCTGAAGCGTGGCTTAAGGGTAAGTACTTCCACCTTGATAATGGCATGACATTTTAGGTCACTGAGAATTGACCGACAGACCTAGAGCATTAGTCATACTAATTTCGACCTTCTTGTACCCACCTCAGAACAAAAGAATCGGTCACTTCTTGTTTTGGTTCTTGAGAAGCGAGATTGCTCAGTCCAGGCACTATCAGCAGAGATTCGCCGTGATCCTGGAAGCCTATCTGAGGGGCTGTGGCACAGCCATGCTGCAGGACTTTACTCAGCAGGTCCAAGTCATCGAGATGTTACAAAAAGTCACCATTGATATTAAGTCACTCTCTGCTGAGAAGTATGACGTCAGTTCCCAAGGTAGAGCGGCTATATTTTCCTGGTTCTCTTTCCAAATGCCTTCATCTCCAAATGCCAGAATCATTATGATTCCTCTTTGGGGAAGCCAAGTTTTAGTTTCCTAAAGGCAGCCAAGAACACATTTTTTTATTCTCTTGTCTGCGTGGAGTAAGTAATTTCAAGTTCTCCTTTTTATAAGTTAATGACTTTTAAAAACTAAACATATATTGTTAAGAATAAAGCTATGATAACAAACATTAAACTCTTTGAAAATTAAAAATCATTTTGTAGTGTCAGGTATAATTTTGAAGAACACTTTCACACACAAAATAAAAGAGTAGTTATTTTCAAATCTTTACCTTTTCCTCCCTATCTTCAATGTATGTGTCATTTTTAAATGTTCAGTCTTTTAAGGTAATAAATTCTGCAAGATATATGTTAAATATTTTTACATTTCTTCATACATATATATCTCAGAGTAATATATGTATATAATAACAGATAATGTTATATATTAATATGTTATATGAATTATATATTAAGATAATATGTAACATATTATATATTGATGTATAATAATATATAAATTTATATAATCCTTTGTATATATACACACACATAAGACCCCTCCTCTATGAAGCCACTTCCAGTGTCCTCTTATCCCTACCCTAAGAAGTCCTGTGCCTGCCCTAAGAAATTTAACCACTTCTTATCTGTAGTCCCATAAGTTCAGGTTGATACCACATTAAATCATGGTCATTAATACACCTTTCTGACCCTATAAGCTGTATAAACCTTGAAAGTAGGGAATATCTCTTGATTTTCTGCACCTAGACCTAGCACTGTGCCTCATGATAGACACTCATGTACCTAATCACAGTTTAAACTTTTGAATATTTTAAATATCTACTTTTTCCCTTTGACCCTTTCTCAGTACACAAATAATGATATCTCCTAAAAATGATAACAGTAATAATATTAACCTTATGTCTGTGCTGGCCTCCATTCTATCTGCTGTACATAGAGTAATTTTTAATTTATGTATTTTGCCTTGAAATTTTTGAGATTATCACATCTTCTATATACATCTTAACTTCCTCTTTTGAAAAGAATTTGCAGAACTTTAACCTAACTATTTAATATTGTCTTCAAATGTTTGTTCTCCAAATCAGATGGCAGTTCAAAGTTTCACATGCTGGAAAGAAGACTAGAATTAAGTCCTTATCATTACCCTCAGAAACTCTTCCCCATATCCTGGAGTGTGCTATCCCACTTATGTTCACATATTTCCATCCCCCACTGTGAAACATGTGCCTGGTTATATTGTCATAGCAAGCCTAACTTATCTTGCCACTTCAAGTAGTTAGTTCCTCAAAGGCAGGATTCTACCCAATCTTCTCCTGCTCCACTCCAGACCAAATATATAGAATGTTGTAAGTAAATATGGCCTCAGGAAATGTTGTAGATAATATTGGTAATTTCTTGAATTCATATAACTCTTTTGTGCTTTTGACAATTACAGTTATTTCACAACTGAAGCAAAAGCTTGAAACCCTGCAGAATTCTAATCTCCCAAAAAGCTTTAGAGTTCCCTATGATCCTGGTCTGAAAGCAGGAACCCTGGTGGTAGGTATCACTTGGATGTCTATGTGTGGTTTATATGTCTTTCAATGTCTGGAGTGCTTTCTAGGGTCCAGTGCTTAAAAGTTGATGTTTATATAGAGACAGGGAAGTCGAAGAGTCCATGGTCGAGCTTCTGCTAATAATCATTAGCTTCTGAAAGCTTTAAAACCAGGTAATTTCCCTTCCATCTTGTTTCAGATTAGTTTATTGAGATATCTTTTATGTACAATAAAATTGTGCATTTTAAGTGTATAATTTGATGAGTTTTGACAAACATATGCTACCATATAACCACCATAATAATCAAGGTACATTTTAAGAAATATTATGGAAAAAGTTCTTTCAAGTCACAAATCAACTGACCATATTATGTGCAAGTCTACATACAGGCTCTCTGTTCTTTTCCATTAATCTAAATATCTGTCCTCAGATCAACATCACACACCCTTGGTTACATTCAAATAACAAACCACATTGTGAACATGTAGAATCTTATAGCAGTACACTTCTATTAACCTCCTACCAATTCTTTGTACTTTTTTTGTCATGCTGTTAACTTCTACAAGTGTTATAAACCCCCAAATGCATTGTTGTTATTTTTGCTTTAAACAAAAATAGATTTAAAAGATTAAGCCATTTTAAAATGTTTTCCCCCATATTACCATTGGGCTACTCTTCACTGCTTTGCATAGACCCAGACTTTCTAGCTGGTATCATTTCCCTTTGACCTTTAACATTTTATATACTGTAGTTCTGCTACTAATAAATTCTCTCAGCATTTGTTTATCTTAAAAATTTTTCATTATATCTTCATTTAAAAAAAATATTTTCACTAAATGAAGAGTTTTAGATTGATGACGACTTCTTCTTCTTCTTCTTCTTCTTCTTCTTCTTCTTCTTCTTCTTCTTCTTCTTCTTCTTCTTCTTCATTTTCTTCTGGCTTGAATATTTTTTGATATTCTCTGTCCTTATCGTTAACTGTCTCTATATAACATATATTTTATTTTTCTGTAGGCTTCTTCTACGATTTATTTAATCACTGGTTTTCACAAAATTGAATCTGATGTGCCTTCTTTATGTTGAGTCTCCTAGAGAGTACTGAACCTCTGACTTGGGGGTTGATAGCCTATCACATTTGGTACTTTTTCAACTAATATTTTTCCTGTCCTCTCTTTCTGAGACTTTGTTGCTATGTTCTAGACTGCTTGCCCGTGGACTCAGTCTAGGTTGCCTATTTCTGTTGTCTAGCCTCAAAAGGGTCCTGAGCAGTCAATTGTTGCAATAAAAGGGTTCACTTTATTTATCTTCCTTCTCTCAGAGGTCACAGACCTCCACTGCCTGCCACCAATGTCTGAAAAGAGTTATTTCATATATTTTGCCTAGTCCTATAGTTGTGTGTGACAGGACAGCAACTCCTATCATGGTTAAACCGCAAAGAAAGGAAAACCTTCCTCCCTTACATGATTAATTTTATATGCAGTGACTAGTAAAATGGCCCTATAGAAAAAGCATATATCATCTACTGTCCATTTAGAATTATGGTGGGAATTATGATATATTAATACAGATTTCAAAGTGTTTGCTCTTTTAAAAGACCACATCAGTGAATTTCATCACCATGTATATCCACAAATAATTAATTTAACAATGAATAAATAAATAAATAACTATGGGTAAATGACAGAAAGACCAATAGAGGGAAGAGGAAGAAGAGGTACTGGGTCTTAATTAGAATAAGATATATTCCATACTTGTATGGTTATATCAAAATGGATTCAACTGTCATGTATGGCTAAAAAGAATGAATAAAATATAATAAAAATTGTTTGATCCATGGAGAATTCACCTTTGGCTAAAACTTGTATGTTGTTTGGTTTTAGTTTTTGTTTTTGAATGATGCCAAATCATGTTTCCTCTTCCTTAAATTTGTTTCAGTGTGTCGGGTGGAGGGATGAGAAAGGAGTGTTGTACTTGACTGCCCAATTTTTCATTAATTTCTGTTAAATTTTATCTTGTTATCTTTGGCCTATTGCATCTGCAATAATAGCTTTTTAGACACTGTAGTAGCATTAGAATTCTTTTTTTAAAACTAAATCTTAGAGGGAGGCCAAATACACAAATAGATAATAGTGAAGTTTCTCTGGGTTAAAGGGAATGTGGGAGTACCAGTGTCCTGTGGGAGAAGCACAGGGCAGAATCTGTCACACCTCATGGCGTCAGCATCTCCATAGACCCTTGAGCTTCCTTGGAACACAGTTTGAGAACCATTGGTTGAAATGTGGTGAATTTTCCCTCAAAAAAAAAAATTCTAGATTTGGTGAGAACATCTGCATTTTTCCCAAAGACTGAAAATCATTTTCCACCTAGGACTTTGTTCAGGTTATTTACAGTGAGGCTTTGCCAGAGAATCTGTGTCTCCACAATGTGTATGCAGCACATGTAGGAAACATGTGACCGCTTTCTTACAGATTGAAAAATGTAAAGTGATGGCCTCCAAGAAAAAGCCCCTGTGGCTTGAGTTTAAATGTGCAGATCCTACAGCTCTCTCCAATGAAACAATTGGAATCATCTTCAAACATGGTGATGATCTGCGCCAAGACATGCTTATTTTACAGGTAGGCTGATGTTAAGAAATATTTTCAGTTATCTGAAAAAAATAATTCTGTATTAGATTTAAAACATGCCTTCTACCAATTTCATCCTTATTCTGTTCTTTCACATGATAAACACTGTTCAAAAGCAACATAATATAGTTTTAGTGTGAGGAATATGGCTGTGGAATGTTAAGATACCCAATCCCATGAACATCACTGTTCTGTCCATTTCTTGAAGATGCACATCCAACATTCCCAAGAAACCAGATACACCTCCCTCACCTCGCCTCTTTTTCATACACCCCCTTCTGAGCTTGGTAACTTCAAATGTACCACATAAACCTGCAGCACCCAGTTTATTCATAGACATATCTACACACTCATAGGCACTCTCCTTAGATATTCCCTCTGATGCACATACACAACATTCCCTCTGATGCACATACACAAACTCAAGAGAATGATTTCATGGGAAGGAGAGAGAAGGTGAACAGGGAATGAGAAACTGTACAAAGTGAATGTGTTATTATGGCAAAGCTGAATGGCCAAGGTATCGATGCTGATCATTTTCATATTTTCTGACATATCTGTATAAACTTTAGCTTCAGAAATCTGTAAAGTTGTATTCCCTGGATTTTATTTGCTCAACATTGTATAGGTAACAATTTCTAAAACTTAATATGGTTTATTTGAAATAGAGAAATCCTATTAACGTAAAAGTAAGCTATTAAGAACTGGTCATGTTTTCAATTCTAAGATTCTGTTTTTACTTATTTCTAATTTGGAAACAATAATACCTTTGCTTTGCTTTCTGTCAAGAATGGTATGAGTATTGTCCAAGAAGTGGTTTTTCTAGTTCCTTTTATTGTTTTTTTTAAATTAATTTTGTTGGTGCATTATAATTGCACACAATCTTGGATTTCATTGTGATATATTTATATGTGCACATAACATAATTTATTCAGTTTCATTCTCCAGAACCTCCCATTTCCTCCATCCTCACTCCCTCTGATCCCTTCTTCTACTAGTCTCCTCCAGGAAATATTTTTAAAAAGAAAAGAAAAAGAAATCCTTCAATTCTTTTTCAGGTTAATTCAATTTCAAATTAATCTGTAAGATTTCTTGAATTGTTTAAAGATGAGCAATTCAAAAACTCAAAAATTTGTCTGTTATTTCTCTCATTTTGAGGGAAAGTTTGCCCTTGTCTTTTGTGTCCTTTGGTTTATTATTGAGGGACAAGTTTGGCAGCTAAAGGAAAGTTCTCTAAGTCTTTGTTCCTTCACCTGCAGAAAGGGAATAATAATCATATTCCCAATATGAGGTTAATGCAAGAACCACACATAAAAAACCACCCAATAAATGTTAGCTATTATTATTATCATTGTTGTTACCGTTATTTAGGTCTAGCCTGAGTGTCTTGTGGATATTAGAGTAATAGATATGTGTCAGGATATTAGAGTTATTGTGGGAAAATATCCATGACAGAGTAGAACATACTGAACAGGTAGATAATCAAACATGACTAAAACCTACTCCAGAAGAAATCCAAAGTACATCTCAGACTGAAATTAA